GAGAGAGAGAGAGAGAGAAGCAGAGGGAGAAGCAGGCTCCCAAGGAGCAGGGAGCCCGATGCGGGACTCGATCCCAGGACCCTGGGATCATGACCTGAGCCGAAGGCAGACGCTTAACCATCTGAGCCACCCAGGCGCCCTGTACATAACTTTTGATTGCCCCCGAACTTAACTACTAATAGCCTACTGTTGACTTGAAGCCTTACTGATAACATAGTTGGTGAGCACACATTTTGCATACATATTATATACTGTATTTTTACAATAAAGCTAGAGAAAAGAAAAAAACCATTAAGAAAATCATAAGGAAGAGAAAATACATTTACAATACCATATTTGTTGATAGAAAGCCACATATAAGTGGACCCGTGCAGTTCAAACCTGTTGTTCAAGGTGCAACTGTAATGGGAAATTAAAATTCGATATAAAACTCTGATGAGAAAATAGCGATAAGCCTTTCAGATTTCTGAGCTATGGCTGGTTTCCTGAAAGCAGTGTTTTCGAGAGGGTTAGCTTGGCAGCCATGGGCTGATGCTGTTGGTGAAGGGAGAAACCTGAGGCCCCAAACCAGCCAGGAGACTGAGCTTGTGCCGGCAGGGGCAAAGCACAGAAGTGGGAGAGCAGCAGTGGGGTTGGCAGGGGCGGGAGCAAGCGCCCATGGTGGGGGCTGGTGGGGTGGGACTGTGGAAGGCTTGGGGCCACGCTTCCAGCAAAGGGCTAGTCATTCACAGCTCCCACTGTGGTTCTCAGTGATGCTGATCTTCCTAGTGTTCAACAGAAGCCAGAAATCCACCATCGCAAGGTTTATTTTCATAGGCTATCTTCCAAATTTACAAATGTGGCCATTAATTCAAAAGAAGATAAATACAATGCTGGACAAACAGAGCCGGACTGCAAGCGTGGGGTCTCCAAGCTTAGACTGCCGTTAGTCTGACTCCCTGAACCAGGTGGTACACCCGAAACAGGGACCACGGCTCGATGTTTCTGTAGCTCCTCTAGAGCGCTGGCACGCTAGTGGGAGTCAGCAGACACTCAGGATGCCGGTGTACCAAGGCAGGCTGTGCGTGTGGTGTTGCGTTGGGAATAGCCTCCTGCCGGGGAGGAGTAGTTTACCTTTGCCATTCTTAGGAATAGTGATAGGAGAAAGCAGACAGTTTTTGGCTATTGTTTCTAAATTCTCTGCTGACAATGCACCTTGCTGCCAATGCATCTCCCCCACCCTCCAGCCCCGTGTGCCAGTCTGGTCACATAACCTTTGTCCTTTTCCAATTTGAGCATTCCAAATGTCTGGGCTCCCTTAGACTACTAGCTCATCTCACGCTTGTCTAGGCCCCTCTCCGACTAGCTCATTCAGGGCTCTTTCTTATCCCTGACTTTTGCTAGCACTCACTAAATAGACAGCATCCTTCATTGTACGGAACTGCCTTCTAGTTATGTCCTGTCTGCTTAGTCTGCTCTACAAAGCCAAAAGCTTGTTGGGAATAGCAACTGGACTTGTGGATTTTTATCTTAAGTTTCACATAGCCCTCAGCATGACACTGAAGACACACTTAGAACACTGTGTGTTGAATGATGGGCCAAGATTTAAACCCAGATTAGAGAAATTCATGACCCACCTATTTCGACAGTATGTTTTTACACGGTGGTTGTTATACCAGCCCGGCGCTTCCAGGGCTGGGCAACAAGTGATCAGTAAGACCACTGTAAGTACTGTCTGCACAGGGCTTGGGTCTGCTCTAGATAAACTCAGGAGCTTCTCTGGCTAAAAGATGAGTTGGTCTGTGCTGAGGATTTCTAATAGCTTTATCTGGTTTTAGCTGACAAAATATCCATCAGTCCTTGGCTAAAAATAACTCTATTCAAGAATTCAAACACTTCGGAACTAAAGATTAAAGACTATATCTTATGGAAACACTGCCTATGTTGGAATTCAAGATCTCAATTTCTTTTGTGTCTTCCATGTGCATTCCAACCAAAATAATTCCCGCCGAAGGGACATCAGTCTGATGAGGCTGGATCCAGTCTTTCCTGGGGAACCTGTGGACTGGCCTGGCATCAACACACAGGCCCAGTTCGTTCTCTGTGAAGTCCAGCAAGTGGACAAACCTGCTGGTTGACCAGGAATCGCTACAAATACAAATGGAACTTTAAAGAGGTGTATTTTATTTTACCCAGCAATGGTTAAAGCATACAATGCATAAAATTTTGGGGGTGTCAAATTTAAAGTAATTGCTTCCTAGCTTCATTTTCATATTTTAGTCACGCAGAATTTTGGAGATGATCTGAAAGAAAACAACCCCATTCCAGGCTAATACAAACACTCAAATTAATATACCCTCTTTCTAAAAAACAAGGAAGGGAGAAAAAGTGCTTTTTCTTTCAGTATTGCAAACTGAGAATTACTTTTTGGCAAAACAAAAACACTAACAAAAATAAAAACAAACCCTGCATGAGCCTATAGAGTGTCAACTATTCCTCAACTCTGCCAGGTAACTGTCTCCCATTCCCCTGGTTATTAGCTTTTTGGGGACTTAGAATTTTAAGTGTTTCAGCTGCAGCATTACAGGCTCAGACTTTCAGGTTTTATTTTCTCTAGGGAACAATTGTCTCAGAATAGTGTGGTAATCACTGACCATAAATGGTAATGAGTTGGCTTACAATATTTACATAATCCATTGTTACTTTAAAAAAGTTTTATGATACACGTTTACTGTGTTTTTAATGCCACGGAAGGATCACAAAGCACCAGAGCGGGTCACCTCTAGAACAAAGTTTTAGGGAAGGAAATGTGCATTCCAAAATGAGCAACAATAGAGAGGCATCATTCGAAGAGGTAGTGCACAGGTTAGGAACATGTAGTTTAAGAATAACCCATACCCAGAAAGGTGGGAAAGGGGCAACACAACCGGCTTTTGTTTCCAATTCCAGTGCCTACAGCAACACTGGCTGGGAAATTCAACTTCTTCCTCCTCATTGGTCTGACCCACCTTCCTTTCTAAACATAAGAAGGCTTTGATCTTTAAGTTAAGAACACATGGTCTGGATAGAAAAGATTACTTTTTAAAACCGTCATTTTAGCCAGTTCTGGTTCTGGTTTTTTACATTTCATTCCCATGGGCATTTGTTGATTACAATGAATGTTTAAAGGTTTAAAATCCTCCCAAGAACCCTGAGTATTCTTAAGTTTAAACAAAACTAAGAGTGTACATTCATGTACCAAACAACTCAGACCACAACTGCTACAAAATATAACTAATGAACCAAAGCCCACTGTTGTCAGTCAAAATCATCCTGAAGCAATTTAGCACCTTCACCAATAAGAGAAAACCTCCAGTGACCTCCCACCCATAGGTACACAAATACAACAGAGAACCAGAGAGGTCTCTAGAAGCTCTACCTCCATAAAGATGCAAATTAAGATTTAAACAGTGTAACAATCGGCCAGAGCTAATCCTTTTACAGAGGTGTAAATGGCTATTGAGAACCGAATTCCGGGCTGCTAGCTTTTGTTAAGTAGCATTACAGACAAATTTTCATCCAAGAGCAACGCCAAGCCACCAACTCTGAGGACTATTGATAAAATAGTTTCATAAAGCCAGTGCAATTTGTTTGCTTTGATATCAAATTTCCTGACCATAAATCCAAACGTGTAAATATAAACTGCATCAAGAATTAGTGCCCTGGGAAAATAAACTGGAAGCGACTATCTCAAGCCTGACACCCGATGGCTGGAACAGCTGTATGCACGGCCACAGTGAAGTTTGTATATGGGGTTTTGTTTGCCACACAAAACAGTTGTAGAAAGGACAAACACATACATAGTTAAACAGTATTTTTCTTTTAACGGGCTGTCTTACAAAACCTATGTTTTGGTGGCTACCTCGGTCCCCATTGTGCAGCCCCCTGGGTGGTCCCTTCCAGGGGGCCACTTGAAGGGAGCACAATGCCAAAAAGGAGGGAAGGAGGGGACGGTGACACAAAGGCCAACAGAGTGGGGCGGTATGCGGCAGGCTGAGGACCAGGGGTCAGCAAACAACGCTCCTTCTCTTTACCCAGGAAACAAGGGCTCCTTCTCTTTACCTGGAAACAGTGTGATTAAGCTGACAGTTTGAATTATGGGCTACATTTTGTAGGGTACCGTCCGTCTGTGTTAAGGTCCTCTGTATTGTAGCAGAGGCTCACAAGCAAAACCCTTGCCTTTTCCCCCACTTTGGCCTCAAAACAGACCTCATCATTCTGTTCCACTTTAATTCGCAGAACTACTCCCTCTCCCATGCCACCTTTTTTTTTTTCCCCCAAGTTCCTTAATGAGGCACTGGACAGCCTGAGAGAATTTGCAATGGGTGTTTTCTCTATCCTTAAACAGAGATAAGCAGCCTGAACCTAAAGGAGTTTTTAGTAGCCCAGAATCATGACTTATGGCTTCAGACATTCTTTGTGAAATGCATAAGTGTTCCAGTTCATTTTATCCTTGATAAACTATGGATCCCAAACTTAACGCTCTGGTTGATAAAAATCCTTGCTAGAAGGGTGAAGACCAGAAACATTTACTCTTGCTCCTTGGGTTTCTTTTAAATCAGCACTGACATGTCACCAGAGGGGTGTCATCATTAGGGTCCTGGCTGCACTCCCCAGTCTGAGGCACACACAACAGATTTATGGAGCCGGTCCCCTAAAGCAACCTGGCTTTGACTATCTGCTGCAAAATAGAACACAGAGGGTGAATGAATGTCTTACTATTATGCAACTTTAGGCCTTTCAAAAATGGAATACAATCAGACCCTGCATTTTGGAAAAGTTTTAAAAGTGTTATGAACATAGGGGCGCCTGGGTGGCTCAGTTGGTTGGGCGTCTGCATTCAGCTCAGGTCGTGATCTCAGGGTCCTGGGACTGAGTCTTGCACCTGGCTCCCTGCTCAGTGGGGAGCCCGCTTCTCCCTGTCCCTCTGCCTGCCATTCCCCCTGCTTGTGTTCTCTGTCAAATAAATACATACAGAGTGGGAAACGTTCAGAGGAGAACCTCTCTTTAGTGCTTTGGAAGAAGGTGGGGAAAAAGGATACTTCTTTAAAAATGGCAATGGTATCAGAATTCCTCAAACAGGCCTGGTTTATTGAAAATGAAGAGCAGGAATACATTAAAACTGTGAAAGGATCCAAAGGTGGTCCTGGGTCAGCAGTGAGCCCCTATCCTACCTTCAATCCATCCTCGGATGTTGCTGCCTTGCATAACGCTATAACAGTTAAAGGTGTGGATGAAGCAACCATCACTGACATTCTAACTAAGAGGAACAATGCACAGCGTCAGCAGATCAAAGCAGCCTATCTCCAGGAAAAAGGGAAGCCCCTGGATGAAGCTCTGAAGAAAGCCCTTTCTGGTCACCTCGAGGAAGTTGTTTTGGCTCTATTAAAAACTCCAGCCCAGTTTGATGCTGATGAACTTCGTGCTGCCATGAAGGGCCTTGGAACTGATGAAGACACTCTGGATGAAATTTTGGTATCAAGAACTAACAAAGAAATCAGAGAAATTAACAGAGTCTATAGAGAAGAACTGAAGAGAGATCTAGCTAAAGATATCACCTCAGACACATCTGGAGATTATCAGAATGCTCTGCTTTCTCTGGCTAAGCATCTGAGGATTTTGGCTTGAATGACGACTTGGCTGATTCAGATGCTAGGGCTTTATATGAAGCAGGAGAAAGGAGAAAAGGGACAGATGTGAATGTGTTCTTTACCATCCTTACCACCAGAACCTATCCCCATCTTCGCCAAGTGTTTCAGAAGTACAGCAAGTACAGTAATCACGACATGAACAAAGTCCTGGACCTGGAGGTGAAAGGTGACATTGAGTAATGCCTCACGGCTATCGTGAAGTGTGCCACAAGCAAACCGATGTTCTTTGCCGAGAAGCTTCATCAGGCCATGAAGGGTTCTGGAACTCGTCATAAGACATTGATCAGAATTATGGTTTCCCGTTCTGAAATTGACATGAATGACATCAAAGCATGCTACCAGAAATTGTATGGTGTCTCTCTCTGCCAAGCCATCCTGGTATGTTGTGATTTTCATAATGCCACCTCCATAAATGGCAGTCTTTTTGCAACTTCTCCAAAGAGAAAATCTGACTTATGTACCTGTAGATTTTAGATGTAAGATTAATTTGTTATATTAGGATATGTAATTTATAAGTAAATTGAACTTTCACTGGACTAGTGAGTTCTCTACTGAAAAACTACACAAATTTTTCAGTAGCCATGGAAATATTTAGTTTCCCATACATAAAGTTAGCAAGCAAAATATTTTAGTAGGGAGATATAGTGATTTATTTTGCAATGAATATTGATCAGAGATTAGAAACTTATTATTCTAAGCTTTCTTAATTTTGTTATATGTAAAATATAAAACATGCATGTTTAAATTTTCATTATAATGTTAAAAATAAGAAGACAAGTCAAGGGTTTTAAACTTATTGAAAGACTGAAAGATAGATGACTAATTCAAGTTAAGTTGTCACTTATACCGGATAACTAAATCTACCAAGAAAAGGTGAGAAAATTATCAGTTTCTCCCTGGTGAGTGAGTCAGATAGCCTTCACTATGATATGAAATTATACTGTATTAAGCTCACTCAATTCTGTGTGACATTTAGTTCTTGGAAAATAATGGCTCTAATATACAACATAATCAATATAATCTGAATCTTGAAAGCTCTTGCTTTTTATGTAATAATCAATTAACAAATATCAGTTATCTGCTATATCAATTGTATTACTTAAATAAATGATATAATTATAAAAGAAAAAAATAAATACATACATAAAATCTTTTAAAAAATTTTATGAACTAAATAAATTTTTGCTTATTAGACATTATCATAATCAGTTCTATAATTAAACTCTGGGGGTGCTTTTGGTAAAAGGGCATCTGTATTGTCAGGGTGGAACCATCTTCGCTGGGCCTGAACGACTGATAGAGGACCATCAAACAAAACATCAGACTTTTGCTGTGCTGTTACATGTCTGCCTGTCTCTCTATGTGTGTGCGAATCTGCGCGTCCGCACGTGAGTGTGTGCATGTGTCAGAGGGGAGGTGAGGAGCCTCAGGCTCCTCAAGGGTTACAGCATGTGAGGGGATCCGGGGAGAAGGGAAACCACAGGACACAATGGGGTGGTGGATGGGCTTATGGAGGGCTCTTGTCAGGTTCAGACCCTGTAATGAGTTAAGATGCCATTTCTGTGGGCTAGGTGAGTCTCCCTGGAGGCCAATAACTGACAAATAGGAATGGGGTCAAGTGCAGTCACCCTCACTGAGGGGGAGCTCGGACCAGTAGGCCAGTTCCCTCTCTGGATTCTGACTCTAAGTTCTGGGTCTACCTCCATGATGACAATTAAATGGGAGTGGCAGTTCCCCAGGGGGGCACCTGCCAGAAGGAGACTGAACCCTTGGCTATTAACACTTGCCTTCTGCTGGGCAAGTATGGTAGAAGTCAAATGCAGGTCTGCTGAAAAGATGGTGCTGGTTTGCTGCTGGCCCTTCACAGGGTCAATACTGTATGACAATGAAGAAGCTGAGTCAATTAATTATTCAAATGTCCGTTCACCTAAGAAGATGCTCAGAGGAAGCCAAAGACAAAAAGAGAAAACAGGCAACGAGAAAGTGGAAGATGCCAAGTCATCCTTATGAATGAATAAATGTGTTTATTGTAGAGGAGAGGCAGGATGCGTGCAAAAAAAACAAGGAAAGCCAATTGGTCCTCCTGGGCAGACCCTGGCAACCAGGTGAAAAGGTTTGTCTCCTCAGTGTCAGAGTTCAGGGGTGCTGGGCAAGCACATCCCTGATTCCTGCTAAGTACACTTTTCAAAACAGTGGGAGCCAATTTGAAGTGTGCTCATGATTACAGATGTAATATTGTCCCAAGCCACCATATCCAGAGCATGTCCTTGTAATACATAACACAGCTGATCAGTAAGGACCGTCGGTCCCATGATTTCATCCCAGAAATTCTTTCAGGGATTCACTTGTCCTGGAAAGTGGTGCTTTCCAATGTTTAAGGTGGCACAACATCTGGAATACACAGAACTTTTTTACAAAACAGCATGAAATACTGATATATTTCATTTCATCATATACACTAGAAACATTGTTATAAGCAATATATGTATGCAATATAAAAATCAAACGATGAGTACGTAGACCCATGATTAAAAAAACAGTCAAAGTTAATAAGATCAGCTGTTCCCACACAGTTCATTATTACTCATCTGCTACTCTCATGCATTTTATCCTCAAGTAGGCAGGCAGTGGCAGGTACCAAAGTTTTAGTAAAATGATTTTGAGAAAGTTCTCAGAATTACAAAGATTCATTCTCCTACCAACTTGGAAAAGATCATTTTACTCAACTGCAGAGTAATTCTACTGAAATATATCTAAGAGTCACTGCAATAAAAAAACCAAACAGCATTGTTTAAGCAGCAGATTCAAACACACTTCCTGTCCATCAAAATGACAAGCAAATTAAAATAAATTTACACTGACAAAGGAAAATAGGAAAAAAAAGTTAGCTAGTTGAAAGCCATAAAAGACAGGATTCAGAACTGCTCCTCCCATCTCTCCTGTAGCTTAAGGCAACACTAGTTTCCCAACTAGGACTCAAAATGGTGAGATTAAGTGTAAGAGTACGAGCAAATATCAAAGTCTCGTTTTTTGCTTAACTTTTGAGTTTTTCCTTGTCTTATCTGCTTGTCCTGTCCGCATACACTTCTCAACAAAAGCCCTCACTGAAGGGAAGCTTTCCCACTTAGCTATCAGGCTCAAATGTTCTTTGTCAACACCTTAAAATGCATTTGGTTTTTCCAGAGCCATGAGAAATATAGGTTAAAGAGAATAAAAAGAAAGATGAGCCATAAGGAACTGAAGGAAGAAGAATAAAATAGGCAACAACATGCAGAAGTGAAGTCAGGGATGGAGAGAAGGAAGTGTGGTGGCTTGCCCCCCAATAGCCTGTAACATCTGTTTCGCTCTCTGATGGCCTACCACTCCCCCATCTTAACCTACCCTCCTCAGATGGGGCTCAGGGCAAAGCATGGGGTCCAGGTGCAAGCCAGTGGTGCTCTCTCCTTCTTACAGTGACTGTGGAGGGGGTGGGCCAATGACAGGGTCAGAGCCAGTGAAAGGCTCTGGCTCAGCACGCCAGGACAAAGGCCACCAGGCTGCAGGGCCTGCGAACTGAGCCAATCCAGGAGATATGGAACCAAGAAAAAGAGAGGAGTCAGAGTCTAGTAGCATCATCTGAGCCTTTTCTGAAGCCAGCCTGCAGACCATCTACCACTGGACTTCTTGCCATATGCCAGTCCCTTTGACTTAGAACAGTTTAAAATAAGTAAATTTTAAACAACAGAAAGAGTCCTAATGGCCACATAGAGTAAATAAGGTTTAAAATACGTGAAAAGGACAAAAATATTCAGTAATTTCTTGCTTCTGCATCAGTTTATTTTTTTAAAGACTGTATTTATTTATTTTAGCTAGAGAGATGCGAGCATGGTGTGAAGGGCAGAGAGGGAGGGAGAGGAAGAGGGAAAGAATTCCAAGCTGACTCTGCACTGAATGTGGGCGGGGCTTGATTTCAGGACCCTGAGATCATGACCTGAGCTGAAACCAAGAGTCAGACGCTTAACCAACTGTGCCACCCAGGCGCCCACATCATTTTTATCTTTATTACAAGCACGTTAAGCATTTGATTATAAAATACAGAATACTTTCTATGGCATGATGGATATTTAATACATATCTCCAAAAAAGTGGTCATTAAAAGCATCCCCACTATAGGAAGATTTTAAAGGCCATCAGTGAAAGCTATGAAACTAGCCATATAAACAAAGGTGCCCTTGCCTCCACGGGGCAAACACCATAAAGCTGCAAGACATGTTTTTTAAGCTCTGGAATTTGGAAGATTAAAAAAAAAAGAAACAGCTTTACTGCAATATAATTCACATAACATAAAACCCAATCACTTAAAGTATATACTCCAATTTTTTTATTAATATACTCATAGAATTGTGTAACCTCACACAATCTAATTCTAGAATTTTTTCAAAAGATAGTTTTGAGGGCTTGTTTTCAGTTTAATTATTTTTATGATTACAAAAGTAATACTTATTATAAAAAACTTGGAGTTCTGCCTTGGACACAGCTCCTTTGCCTGTTTCCTGTATCCACAAACTCTTATTTTAACCAAGTGTAGCAAAACTGTGGTTGCCTATTCAATGTCCAGCTCCTTTCTTTCCTTTCACAGAACCTCAATCTTGTTCAAGAATCAACCACCCCCTCGAGTAACCCAAATTCAGGAGTAAATCACAATTAGTCTAAGCCAGGAGTGATGGAATCCAGCCACAGCGTGCTTTTGTACCACTCTTGAGCTAAAATTTAAAAAGAGAAAGGGGGAGAAAAGGGGATGGGGATGGGAAGAGGAGAAGCAAAGCCTGAAATAGTTACTATCTGGCACCTTACAGTAAAGGTGTATCTCTCATCTCAGTCCGTTATAATAATCCTTGCTAGTGATTGGCTTAGGAATGGGCATGTGACTGAATTTCAGTCAATGAGATGTTAGGGGAAATCCACTGAAGGCTTTCCTTGCTCCTAACGAAGAGTGAGTGTCTTTCTATCTTTGGTATCTCTTTATCTTTGTGGTGTCAAGATGAGGTTCTTGGTACTTGTATTCATCAGCTTAGGCTGCTATAACAAAATATCATAGACTGGGTGGCTTAAAGAGCGTATTTATTTTTCACAGTTCTAGAAGCTAGGAAGTCTAAGATCAAGATGCTGTTTGACTTGGCTCCTGGTGAGGACCCTCTTTGTGGCTTGTAGAGAAGCCTTATCACTGTGTCCTCACATAGCAGAGAGACAGGGAGAGCTCTCTCATGTCACTTCTTATAAGGGCACTAGTCCCATCATGAGGGCCCTACCCTCACAATTTCATCTAACCTTAACACCTCCTAAAGACTCCATCTCCACATACTATCACACTGGGGTGAGGGCTTCGACATGACTTTTGAGGGGACCACAATTCAGTCCATAAT